AGGACTAGGCGTGGCGGGAGCTCGTTGCGTCGTTGGATGCGGATCCCTGGGGGCAGCCGTACAAACTGGTCATGAACAGGCTGCGGGCGCGGGCGTCCCCGGCGACCGCGACGTTGGATCCCCAGCTCCTTGAAAAGGTGATAGGGGGCCTCTTTCCATCTGAGGGAGGCCCCGAAGGGGGAGATATAGATCCTGCCGCCGGACGGCGGGAGGGCGAGGCCCCTATATGGAGAGAGGAGCTGGGTGTAACGGGTGACGAGCTCCGTCACGCTGCGGAGGGAGTGGGCGGAAAGGTGCCCGGCCTGGATGGGGTCCACGGTCGGATGCTGGCCTTGTCCCTGTCGGCGCTTGGCCCCGACATTAGACAACTGTTTCACTGTTGTCTGAGGGAGGGGGTCTTTCCGTCGGCGTGGCGGAGGGGCCTCCTCGTATTGATCCCCAAAGAGGAAACGAAATGGGGTCGCCATCCGCGTGGCGACTGTTATGCCTCCTGGATGAGGCGGGAAAGCTTTTCGAGCGGATCATCGCTCGGAGGCTTGTNAACTGCGGAAGACTAGCACGATGGCTGACAATGTTCGCGATCGATGGGAAACAGTTGAAATTCGCTCGTAGGAAAACGAAACACTGTCGGCCATTGTGCCAGTCTTCTGCAGTTCGTCTCGACAACGCGGTACATACGTGTCATTAACAGTGAGAACTTCGAACACGTCGCATAAAAAAGTCGGCTCTTTTCAGAGCCATACATATTAACCCAGAAAAGTTCATCCATAAATATTATTGATAAGTGATCAGTGTTTAGTGATAATGCAGTGAAAGTAAACNGCCATACATATTAACCCAGGAAAGTTGGTCCATAAATATTATTGATAAGTGATCAGTGTTTAGTGATAATGCAGTGAAAGTAAACGTTGAAATTGCCTGCCCGGAGACATACTTCGGTTCGTCGCCGTCGGGTACATGAAGTGGATTATACAACTAAATGGGTGAGTTTCCTATTGATAATATTCTTCATATTTCTCTAACAAACATATCCCTTACGTCCTTTAACACGATTATTATTTATTAAATTAGCTTTGCGAATCATTCAAAATTTCATTTACGTACTTTGTTAATCTTCACTGTACACCTTGCTTAAAAATTTCATATATTGACCTTGACATGACATTGACATGACCTTGGCATGAACTTGACATGACCTTGGCATAACCTTGACATAACCTTGACATTGTACAAGGTCAATGCACTATCCTGCACACATTTCCGTGCATGAAGTGGATTTACAACTAAATGGGTGAGTTTCTTATTGATACAAACATAACCTTTACGTCCTTTAACACGATTATTATTTATTAAATTAGCTTTGCGAATCATTCGTTGAATTGTGTTCTTTGACGCGATTTATGATTGAATTAGCTTTGCGAATCGTTCTTCACTTTTACGACCTGTCTTTGACGCTTGGGAAGCATTTCCTTTACCTGCTCGAAATGTAAATGGTAGATTCGTAAACTAAACATCGTTAGCTACGAATGTAACTTACGGGTTTTCAAAAATTTCAATAATTGTAATATATTTAATAAATAATTCTTAACTGTAATTTTATAAAATTTTGAGTTTGAGAATTGTTTTTGTAAGTAATTACTACATTAAATTTCAGTTTCGTTTTCCAAATTTTTAACAGTAAAAATCGTATAAAATTGCGAAATTATTCGTTGGTTTCGAAACTCCTTGTACAGTAGAATATTGATTGCTAATCGTCTCAGTTAAAAAGTACTGGGATGGCTGAATTAAAAAAATTTTGTTGATTCATAAAGTAGAAACCATTAGCTAAAATGTAGCTTACGGGTTTTTGAAAATGTTAATAATTGTAGAAATGATTATCATTTCAAGACTTTCGCAAATATGTACGTGTTTCAGATGGGGTACCAGGCATATGGATACGTGAAAAGAGTGAGAACGCAAGCACGATAAAGCGTGACGGCCTGCGTTTCTCGTTCGTGTGGACACTCGCACATAGAACCCGTTGGTTTCATTCTGTCTCTCTCGATCATCTTCCGTTCTCTTTCTAAAGCAACTGCGCGAACCTGGATGCGCAGTAAAATGGTGGGGATAGAAATGCTTGCTATGGTGAAGCGGAATTGCTCATAGGTGTAGTTTGCGATACGTGATGGTTGATACGTAGTGTGCGAAAGTAATCGTTTTTTTATAGTAAGCGCGTGTACTGTTTCGTGCCATGGCTATGTTTGAAGCATTAAGGGAAGAATACAGTGTAAGAGTCTGTTAATATATTTTTGGCTCCTGTGAGATTATACGGTTATTTGCTGAAACTTGATTTTGAATCTGATTTTAGGATTACTTACAGCAATGTTTTAGAGTGCCAGATCTACAAACATTCCAAAAGAAATGCACTGCTCTTTGTACAAATGACAGTGACAGGAAAGTTGCAGTTGATCAAGCATTAAGAGACAGTCTTCTTATAATTTTGTCAGAACATGTGCCAAGCAATGTTCAACTACTTGAAACCTACATTACATTCTGCATTGAATTATGCAGAAAAGACTTAGCGACTGCGAGTATGCCTGTCATGTTACTTGGTGATATATTTGACTCTATGACTCTTGATAGATGTGAGCAACTATTCACCTTTGTAGAGAACAATGTTGTTGTATGGAAAGAAGAATTATTTTTTAGTGCTTGTAAAAATAACTTATTGCGTATGTGCAATGATTTACTGAGAAGATTATCTCGGTCACAACAGACTGTTTTCTGTGGAAGAATTCTTCTGTTTCTTGCCAAGTTTTTCCCTTTTTCTGAGAGATCTGGCCTTAACATTGTCAGTGAATTCAATTTGGAAAATTATACAGAATTTGGCTCCGAAAAATCTGAGGGAGATGATTTGGAACAAATTACTAAGGTAGATGATAAATCTGAGAGCAAAGTACCAATTGATTATAATTTGTATAGAAAGTTCTGGGCTCTACAAGATTTTTTTAGAAATCCAAATCAATGTTACCAGAAAATGTACTGGAAAGTATTTTCAGCGGTAAGTCTTAAATCCCAATTACAAAATTATTACAGCTTGTCGGTTATCAACATTTTTAATAGTGGTTTTTTTTCAGCATGCTTCAAGTGTTTTATCAGCATTTTCATCATTCAAATTAGAGGAACAACGCAATTATCCTACAACATCTATTAAAGTGGATTCTTCAATGGAAGGATCTCACAAAGAAACTCCATATTTTGCAAAATACTTAACAAATCAGAAATTATTAGAGTTACAGTTGTCTGATTCAAATTTTAGACGATATGTATTGCTGCAATTTCTCATTCTTTTCCAATATCTTAATAGCACTGTAAAATTTAAAGCGTAAGTATCTACAATATACATATGTACACTTTTTTGTATATTTGTATTTTATTATATATTGAACCCACAATACCTTTTCATAGAATTGCACATTCATTATAAATTATTAGTAAATGACTTTTGAAAGCTATAAAACGATGTTTGTTTTCCAAAGCTTCCTTGCCAGTGGCTATGAGACAAGGTCTGCTTTCCTTAAATAGTGTTTTGAGTTATTCATACCGCAGAATTTCAATAGTTTTTGTAATTTTTAAGTGAAACACATGAATTGAAGCCGGACCAAATAGATTGGGTAAAAACCACCACGGAACAAGTTTACGCCTTACTGACGGAAACACCACCTGACGGCCCAACGTTTGCTGAAACTGTTAAAAATATATTAAAACGCGAAGAACATTGGAATTCGTGGAAGAATGAAGGTTGTCCACCATTTAAAAGACCAGCATCAGATTCTACTGTCGACGCAGAGGAATTGAGGAAACCGAAGAGACCCAAACGTAGAATCGGAGATGTTATTAGAGACGCTCAAGCAGTAGGAAAATATCATATGGGAAAGTAAGAGAGTCTGTTTTTAACAAATACAATTGAAACCGGTGGCATTTTCATCTAATATTAAATTATATTCACTTATTCTGCAGTCCAGAACTCACAAAGCTATGGAATTTGTGCCCTAATAATCTCGAAGCATGTAAATCAAAAGAAAGAGATTTCTTACCATCTCTAGAAACATACTTTGAAGAAGCCATAATGCAACTGGATCCTAATGCAATGGTTGAAGATGAGTACAAGTAGGTACATTTTACTTTCTTTTAGGACTTACTTGATTTCCCAAGTTATTTATGCCGTTCCTATGTCTTATAGGAAAGTAAATGACGGAAACTTTGGATGGAGGGCATTAAGATTGTTGGCTAGACGTAGCCCTCATTTTTTCGTACATGGTAATTACCCTATCAATAAACTACCTGAATATCTTGAAACAATGATAAAGAAGATTGCCAAAGATCGACCAGTGAGTACACCTTAATTTTTCTTTTGGTTCATGTTACTTTTATTGAATAATCTTGAAAGTAAAATATGTCTATCAATTAAAGCAAACGCAATCCGACATGAAGTTGGAAACTGAAGAAACTCCACCACAAGATTCGAACGATCAAGAATTCAATGAAGATGTGTTACAAAAAGAGAGCGAACAAGTTGAAACTGAAAATTCGGATACAAAGGGACGAAAATTAACTAAAATCACGCCAGATACGGTAGCAAAATTATCGGATGTATTGAAAAACGATTGGAAGAAATTAGCAACCAAACTTGGTTATACAAATGAGGAGGTAAATATATGTGATATTGTGTCGAAGAAAACTAACCAGGTATATGCTCAATGAAAATGAATCCTAAAGTAAATGGAAAAAATAGTCTTCATTATTTCTTTCAGATTACATTTTTTCAGAGTCAACCGACGCCATACGAGCAATGTAAAAATATGCTAGAAATTTGGGCAGAAGAAGATGTAGACGCATCGATGGAAAATTTGGCGTATATCTTAGAAGGTTTAAAATTCACGGAGGCATTAGCTGTTTTAAAATCATAATTATTTCATGAAAATGTCTCACTATGAAAATGAATTTTAAGAATTGTACAGTACATACTACGTGAAATAAATTTTTTCAATTTCCGTAATATTTTATTGCATATGTTTTATTGAGCGTGACCTAAAACTATTATTATTAACTTTATTATTGGTTTTAACTCGAGAATCACTCTAGAATTAGGTAATTACGCAGTTGAAAAATTATTCTGAGGGTACAGAAACTGTTCGTCAAATTATCAAATTACCCGCAAATTATAAATAGTGGCACCTCTTCTGACGAACTTTGAGAGCTCCGTTCAGGGTCCGTACAGTGCCAATTAGTAAATGGCAAAACGCTGAAACTACTAGCCAAATAAAGGTTCCAGATTTCACCACAAGAGGCGCCACTGTTTGGCTAATAGTTTCAGCGTTTTGCCACTTACTAATTGGCGCTGTACGTACCCTGAACGGAGCTTCCAAAAATTGCCATAGTGGCGCTACTGACAAGAAGAGGGACCACTATTTATTTATTTATTTATTTCAATAAAATAGACAAAAAATGGCAAAATAATGATTAAAAACGCTGTTGAATCAATTAATACAGCCATAGATGAATCTTTAATCTACATCGAACCACCGGGAGTCTCACCAATGATTAATATTCTCCAAACATACATATTAAATTCTTTTACAGGTTTTTTAATTGTTCGTTCTAATACATTTTAATGACTCTAAATAACGTATTTCACATATATAATAAAATCACAGAACAGGTATAAATGTGAGCTTTAACGAATGCGAAATAAGGGTTTAATGACGCGTGTGATATAAGATTATATTTTACACTTATAATTAGCTTTCCATCTTCGGTATAGCAGGCTGTACAGATGCAATGTTCACTACATGTCGAAATTGAAAGTCGTCGACCCTTCTACGCTCGAAGGAACGCCTTGATTGGTAGCGTTTGGAGATATTGATTCAAATTAATTATGCAGGTAGCTACAGGAAATCATTCTATCTTGATCATGTGCAATTTCGGAGTAGAAAACCTTGTTAGGCGAATAATCTTTCCTTGCTATCAATTAGAGGCAAGCGCTATTAAGTGCACACAGGCCAGTTAGGAAACAATATTAAATATGTATGCTAATTATTCGCATTTACAATTATAAAATTTTAAATCACTATGATATAGATCCGTGAGCTTATTCACTGTACCGTTCATATAGCGTGTAAACAGACTCAGCTCAGCGTTCCCGCGCCATGGAAACAGTAGCATGGTAGGAATTGGAGTCTTGCAAGCTTGAAAGGAGAATCAGGATCTGTTCTTAGGGGCCGCAGGGTTGTAGAAAACCGAGACATTGCCGATCTGGTATGACATTTTTGCTCAAATTCTGCATGGAATTTCTGTGTTTCAATAATTATATATTAAAATTTCTGGATGAATTTCAGATGAACTTTTTGCTGTACGAAAATGATTTTCAGTTGACAATGTTCAGAAAACGTTCGAGATTACTCGCTAGAAAAAGGATTTACAAACATCTCTTGACAAATTTAAATCATTTGAACAAGAACAACTGCACAGTTTCCTTCTTAATTCAAATTGCATTGGGAGAGCTACGGTACAATCTAAATTAGCTTAAGCGGTTCTGAAAACGTCCTATTTCCTTTAATGTTCAATGAACAATTGATCAAAAATCTATTTGTACTATAAAACGATTTCTACGAAGGAAAGTCAGGCGTCGATGTTTTAAGTCAGATGGTCCCATTCTATTTTAGTTTCTGTCCCGGATAATACACAACTGCGAGCCCATAGTAAACATCTTATTATCTCAAACATGATTAGAAAACGTTCTACGATTTCTTCGAAGAATCCTACAATAGCAATTGTACGTCGCTTCTTTGGTTTCGTAGGCACTCGTTGGAATGTCGCTTTCTCATTACGCTACCCTAGAACTACTCGTTCCTAGAGTTCAAATCTGGTTCGGTCTCTAGTTACATTCATTATTTTTTTATTTTTTAATTTCTTATTTTTAACCCTCGTCGATAGGCTTTAAATATGCATGTTTACATTCATAAATTCAGAAGCTCCGTGGACGCCGCACAGGGGAGTGTTCGACCTGAAAAACTTTGTTTTAATGGTTAGCGATGTTCAAAAGTTTCCAATAATTCCGCGAAGCATGTTACATTTCAAGCAATTCGTACAAAATTTGATCGCACTCGCGAGCGAGTTGAGATGACTTCACCAAAAATTTCTAATATTTACAAATATATCTGTGAAGTCTTTGTCCCGTGCATCTTTTGGCGCGATCGCGCTTTATTTCATGCTCAATATACTTTTGTTCTCAATAAAACGAATGAAATAATTTTGACCAGCTGACGAGATCAAATGCTCCACCGTGCGTCGTTCAGAAAATAATTAATTCCAAAATAGTTATAATAATAATAATAATAATAACAATAATAATAATAATAATAATAATGGTAATAATAATAGTAATAGTAATAATAATAATAATAATGGTAATAATAATAATAATAGTAATAATAATAATAATAGTAATAATAATGGTAATAATGATAATAATAATAATGGTAATAATCTCAAAATAATTTAGTGCATTTTTTCGCACAAGATAGTAAAACGTCCGAAAAATACGAGAATGTAGGCCGTATTATAATATTTTTAAATGATTCGAACGATTAAGGAAGCGAAACATGACGAACGACAATTCTTTCTTGCAGTTAATGAAGTTAATAAACAATGTTGTGGCCAGCTCGTGGTACCAAGCGACCCGGTGCGCGGTGATGAGTTAATTGGGCCGCGATCGGCGGGTTGGCATCAGTAGAATGGTAAACACAATAACCAGACAGACGCGAGCGTGTCGCTCCGGGCGATACAGCTAGACGGCGGCAGTCGACTCCAGGCCAGCCAGCGGCCCTCTATCACTTGCTCCGCGAAACTGTACAGGGGAAAGCCGAGCGTGAACGGTGTGGCACGAGTCCGGATCGAGTCGATCGTTTACCGCAGTCGTGCTCGAGCCGTGGAGCGGGCTGAATCTTCGACAGTGCATCCGGCGATAGTGCATCGTCGCGAGTGCATTTCCCTGGTCTTCGACTCGCCCAGCGACCGTATCCTACGGACCTGCGAATCGGTCGCGTCAGCGGTCGGTAGAATGACTTGGCCGCGGTTTCTGTGCTGAGCCCCCGCCAGACAACCGGCCGCCAGGATGATGCAGGAGATCACGGACCAGTCCTCCAGGACCGTGCTCCTGAACACGTTCGTCGTGAAGAAGAAACGGTGCAGGGTCTACTTTCATCGCGGCACGCTTATCTGGGAAACAGCGAAACCGCCGTACAGTGAGTACGATTTTTCCGGCTTTCACGCACACGGCTGCCGACACAGGCACGCATCACAGCTGATCGATCACGGGAGATAATAGAAGGATCAGCCGCCCGAGGATCGCGGACAAAGGAGTCGCTGCGGGGTTGCGTCCCTCCGGCCGAGACGCGAGATGTCCTGTGCGCGGCTTTGTTTCGCCGAGGGTGCATTAGCGACTAAGAGAGCTGGTTCGCGCTGGATCGAGTCGTGCCACCGCGGAAAGCTCGAGGCTGCTGCGAATTTGTCGGTTCTCTGTCAGGAATCCTTCGTCAGAGCGCTCGCTTTGTCTTTATCTTGCTGCTGATTTTTCTCAATCCGAAAGCTCGACCTTAATCTCTGTCGATACCGTCGCGTCTGGTCGATCCACACGTGTCATAAGTTCATGCAAATGAACCGCGCGGGATCAGCGGCTCGTTTAGCATAACCCAATCTTTTATCTCGTCGCGTTCACAGACTCCATTGAATTCGTCGATCGAAAGCGGCCGAATTGATAGCCAGTGCGTCGGCTTTTCCTTATCGGTAGACTGCGGATTGTATAGACGAAATTCAACACGGCGAGAACATTTAAACAATTTAAAGATACCATCGTATTACGCTCGACTCGTCAAGCTTATTTAAAAAGAAAAGGTAACACGCGTCTGTTAAGCCCCGGAGTCTTGCAGTTAGTGCAGACAATTTTTGGTTTGCGCGAAGATCCGCAGTCTACTTATCATTTACAGCAGATCGAACATTTGTCGCATAGGAAATTGATCGAACAGTTTGGAAGTCGAGTTCATTCGAACGGGGAACGTAACAAGTAGACCGCGGATTTTATGCATCTATGGCAAAAATGAGTACATAGCTGCAATTGAAAATAGCAGAAAGATCAAAAGTCACTGTATTATTTACGATCTACTAAAATTATTTGAAAGAGAAAGAACCTTCTATTTAGTTCCCTATCTTTTGCAATCGATGTGCAGACAATTTTTGTTTTGCGCGAAGATCCACAGTCTACTTATCATTTACAGCAGATCGAACATTTGTCGCATAGGAAATTGATCGAACAGTTTGGAAGTCGAGTTCATTCGAACGGGGAACGTAACAAGTAGACCGCGGATTTTATGCATCTATGGCAAAAATGAGTACATAGCTGCAATTGAAAATAGCAGAAAGATCAAAAGTCACTGTATTATTTACGATCTACTAAAATTATTTGAAAGAGAAAGAACCTTCTATTTAGTTCCCTATCTTTTGCAATCGATGTGCAGACAATTTTTGTTTTGCGCGAAGATCCACAGTCTATTTATCATTTACAGCAGATCGAACATTTGTCGCATAGGAAATTGATCGAATAGTTTGGAAGTCGAGTTCATTCGAACGGGGAACGTAACAAGTAGACCGCGGATTTTATGCATCTATGGCAAAAATGAGTACATAGCTGCAATTGAAAATAGCAGAAAGATCAAAAGTCACTGTATTATTTACGATCTACTAAAATTATTTGAAAGAGAAAGAACCTTCTATTTAGTTCCCTATCTTTTGCAATCGATGTGCAGACAATTTTTGTTTTGCGCGAAGATCCACAGTCTATTTATCATTTACAGCAGATCGAACATTTGTCGCATAGGAAATTGATCGAATAGTTTGGAAGTCGAGTTCATTCGAACGGGGAACGTAACAAGTAGACCGCGGATTTTATGCATCTATGGCAAAAATGAGTACATAGCTGCAATTGAAAATAGCAGAAAGATCAAAAGTCACTGTATTATTTACGATCTACTAAAATTATTTGAAAGAGAAAGAACCTTCTATTTAGTTCCCTATCTTTTGCAATCGATGTGCAGACAATTTTTGTTTTGCGCGAAGATCCACAGTCTATTTATCATTTACAGCAGATCGAACATTTGTCGCATAGGAAATTGATCGAATAGTTTGGAAGTCGAGTTCATTCGAACGGGGAACGTAACAAGTAGACCGCGGATTTTATGCATCTATGGCAAAAATGAGTACATAGCTGCAATTGAAAATAGCAGAAAGATCAAAAGTCACTGTATTATTTACGATCTACTAAAATTATTTGAAAGAGAAAGAACCTTCTATTTAGTTCCCTATCTTTTGCAATCGATGTGCAGACAATTTTTGTTTTGCGCGAAGATCCACAGTCTATTTATCATTTACAGCAGATCGAACATTTGTCGCATAGGAAATTGATCGAATAGTTTGGAAGTCGAGTTCATTCGAACGGGGAACGTAACAAGTAGACCGCGGATTTTATGCATCTATGGCAAAAATGAGTACATAGCTGCAATTGAAAATAGCAGAAAGATCAAAAGTCACTGTATTATTTACGATCTACTAAAATTATTTGAAAGAGAAAGAACCTTCTATTTAGTTCCCTATCTTTTGCAATCGATGTGCAGACAATTTTTGTTTTGCGCGAAGATCCACAGTCTATTTATCATTTACAGCAGATCGAACATTTGTCGCATAGGAAATTGATCGAATAGTTTGGAAGTCGAGTTCATTCGAACGGGGAACGTAACAAGTAGACCGCGGATTTTATGCATCTATGGCAAAAATGAGTACATAGCTGCAATTGAAAATAGCAGAAAGATCAAAAGGACTTATAAGTGTCACTGTATTATTTACGATCTACTAAAATTATTTGAGAGAGAAAGAACCTTCTATTTAGCTTCCTATCTTTTGCAATCGACGCGTAGACAATTTTTATTTCGCATAAAAATCCGCACCGAGATCGCGGCCTAGCGTTACCAGGTGCATTCGTTGCACCGAGAATCGCTCCGACGGAAAAAGAAAATTGGCCTCGCAGCTTCGAGTATTTTATTGGTCGCGCAGACGAGCCAAGGATTGTTTTTCCCCACAATGATCGCGAGGCAAAGAGGAATTAACGGCGACCGCACTTTTCCCGTTCGTCGTCGTCCTCCTCCTCCCCCTGCCTCTGTCGCTTCGAAACGACATAAAAGCGTTCCTCCGGCCCACCGATGCGATTATCGCGGAGGACGTTGGATATCGGCTCGCCGCGAGGAAATTGCACGGTTCCGTGACGGAATCATCGCCGCGAGCCTCGGCAATTTTTCCGGAAGTTGTTACACGGAACTTCGGCGCCGGGCTATTCCCCCGACAGGGTCGCACAGTGGCTCGTTCTCGCGAAAAGTTCGCCGAGATACAATTATCGATGAAACATTACGTCGAGTCATAGATAACTTCTGCTTTTTTTTTATCAGACACTTACTTTGTTCTTTTTTTTATTTATGTGTCCCGGTGACTCACAACGGTTAGATACGAACAATAGATTTTCTTTATCTTGTCGACGTTCCGCGAGTGCCATTTTTACGTCAGTTCTGTCGCAAATTGTCCAGCGAACCGGTCCTTCCAATATCTCGATGAAATTCAGCTCGCTTCGGCGAGAATTTGAATTGAGCCGCGCCGCTCCGAAAGAGGTGTCCAAATATGACAAAAAATGGCAGACACAAGTGGCAGGAGACGTAGCCGAAATTAGGCCGAGCGACTAAAGCGATCGTTTACCTTCGTCGAACTATTCATCCTGTCGACGGCGTTCATATTTACCTGGCGCGAAAATATCCTCGTTGACGGAAGGCGGTGGAAGACGCGTTAACGAGCTATTTTTAACCGCGGATCCGTTCTTTTTTGCTAAAAAGATCAGCACACGAAGAATTTTCCCCAGTTCGGAACGGGGCACGCCGCTCGCTCGGGGTTATTTTCGATGGAATTCACCCGCGAATCGGGTTACCGAGACGCCGGCGAATTTTCTCGCAGAAAACGCCGAATCTCCTTCGAGAGGGGCTCCTTCCTGTACGCGCGCCGATCAATCAATCCGGTTTGCTTCTGTTCCAGCAAAATGGAGTTAGAATCGAGTTACTCGAGCAATCGAGACCTCATTATCCCCTAGGGATTAAATACTTTCGAACGATCTGCTGGGCGCCTCGATTATCCAGCTAATTTCGAAACGCGATCCTCTTGTTTCCACGATCTTTCAACCTTCTCCGCTCCGAAACCATTTTCGCTCGAAATTTGTCGTAACGTCGAGTAGTTAAAATTTCGAATAATCGAGAAATTACAAGCATTTTCGAAAGTGATAACAATGGAGATAAAGCGGGTAATAATGATGTAGCAGTTACACAAGGACGGATAAAATGTAGAGAATGAAACTAAAAAGAAAAAGAGGAAAAAGTAAGTAGAAAAAGGAGAAGTATATGCGATTATGTGAGCGGAGATAAAGACGAGCGGCGAATGGCATTTGCGATAGTCAAGTTGAAGGAAGTGTTAGAGTTACGAAGACAATAAGTAAACTTTTCGTAAAAATGTCAATATACCGTTGGAATGATTAAAGAACAAAAGTATTTTGTTTTCTATCTCGTTTCTATGTCTTGCGATTGATCCAGACGATTCTTATTTTCCATGAGAATCGACACGATATGCGTGTCTTTCCGCATTTTATGCACACGAAACTGACAGTGTCTCGACTGTAAACAAGTTGATGACGTTAGAATTATTATGAAATGCGATATTATCGACTGCGGATTTTATGCGTTTACGGCAAAAAATGAGTAGATCAAATGCAAAACTGTAACGGCGGGATAACAAGATTAACTTGGACAGCTTTTTATCTCGCATAAAAATCCGCGGCCTGGCGATATAAAGTTCGGAGCACGCTATAATTTTACAAAAACTAACGACACAGCAGGATGTAAATCGTAAACGAATGTAACGAGGCATTGCGAGCCGTCAGATTTTCGTTCGGCGTCGAGGATGCGGCTTTTTTTTTCCTCGAAAGAGAAGAAAATTCGGTCGGGTTTGTTTTTAGGATGTTGAGCAACGTTTGGTGAGATCCACAGGCATCGAAAATCGCGGCCGTGGAATTTATTTTCGTTGCGAGTGTCGCCAGAGATCGCATCGGCACGATCCATCGGATGGCCTCGTTATTTTCGATCCGGGGAGCCGCGCATCGATCGCCGCT